TAACCCTAACCATACTAACCCAAACCATACTAACCCTAATCCTACTAACCATACTATCCCTACTAACCCTACTAACCCTCCTGTGGTGGACATCATGTGATGAAGTCAGTGGTTCAGCCGCCTTTGACTGTATCTTAGTAATTTATTATATTTTAACTTTATAATTCCTCTTAGATGTTGTCCTGATTTGTTTTCTTGGTTTTAAACGTAGCGATGATGTTTTAATGTTGTCTGACTCTGACCCTGTAGAGCAGCTGCCTCCACCTTCTGGGGGATTTATTCTCTCTGTCCTGTTTCTACAACATTAGTCGCACATCAGACTTTTACTCTGGTTTTATTCCTGCTGGTACAATCACACTCACATAGTTTCAATGCAGTACTTGAGTGGTTCTCACAGTAATCTGAGTACTGCAGGAACGCCGGCTCCTCCCTGTCTACACGTCACTCAGGTGTGTCTGAGGCCCCGCCCCCCGCACACAGCTTTTATAGAGCAGGTGAGGCCAGACGGCTGCAGAACTCACTGACGGACGGTTCTCCTGAAAGTTGAGCCGAACATTAAGTCAACGTTGAGATGCTGCTGCTGAACGACTCTGAGCTCCGGAGCTTCTCCGAGTTCAGCTTCGAGCGACGGTTCGACGAGCGAGGAGCGATCCGCTGGATGCAGCTGCACTGGTGAGAAAACCCACAAACAGTGGTTCCTGTTCACACTGAGACTGGCTGACGGTTCTTTAGGTGAAGGTTTCAGATCCTGCAAACGCTAAGAAATAGCCCAAACAGCCCGGAAACCTTCCGCTCCGAACTCCATTAGACCATCGTCTATTTTTAATATTACTCTGCCTTACTTAAACATGGCTCCTGGTTCTGTCGGTGTGGACGTGGTTTCGGGATGCTTGAGGTCCCGACTTTGTTTCGGCTTAAACCCAGAACACCGGAGAGCTCAGCTTTCAGCACAGTTTCACCTGAACAAGTTTACCTGATACCGAAACACGTTATTCAGACAGCGCGGAGAAGGGAGCGGTACAGCGGTCACCAGCTCAAACATTAGCTCGGTTTGTTGGAATAAAAAGCGTGTTGTTATAGGTTTTTTAGAGCCGAATAGAGAAGCTGATGTCGCTGATTCAGACAACATACAAACTTCTCCTGTTTGAAACGTGTGTGAGCTCAGAGCAGCGAGGAAACTTAAAACCGGACAGTTTGTGAATGGGGTTTGGTGAGGCGCAGACTTACACCAAACGATTACCACATGGAGTTCTATCAGGATTACAGTGATTTTAAAGGAGCCTGAGGAACGTCCACATTCCTTTGGAAATACGTAGCTCAGGTGTAGCGCAGGTGAGGCCCAGTAACGTTACGGTTCCTCCCATGATGATGAAACCTGAAAAAATGTGCTGAAGGTTCAAATATTTCAGCTGTTCAGCAGCTCGGAGGGAAAATCTTCCTCAATGCCGAACATCAGCAGAACTCACGAGATGTTCCGAGCTCCTCTGTGTCCGTGATGTATGAGCATGTTAACGTGGTTTAAACTGTACGAGTCGGTGATATTTAAGATCCTTATTGTTAGAAAGGCCTAACCCAGGTGAGTCACATGTTCCTGAACCGGTCCGTCAGCCGGAACCTCCTGACCCAATAACTCAGAACTAAAGTCATCTTTCCAGGCAGTCAGCTGGTTCTCCTTAGAGGATGATCCACTTCACCTGGTTCACATAATTTCATATCTGATTTGCTGTAAAACATGATGAATTCATAGAAACGTTTTAAATGTTCAGTCAAAGCAGAACTAGTTCCAACTGCTCCGGCACCAGAACCTGGATCATCAGCTTCTGCTGGATGCCTCATTTCTCACTTTAACACCTTTTCTTTGAGTCGTCTTAATATTCGGGAGATTTTTCTAAAACTTGTTTTTTTTTGTTTTTTTTTTTTTTTTAATTTGTGGGAATTTTTAAAACATATTTTCTAAACATTTGGGAACTTTTCTTTTTAAGATGTTTAATTCATGTTCGAGGGTTATTTTTAAAATGTTCTTTTCAGTTTGTGTCACACATTTTCTCAGTTTGTGGTCATTGTGACATTTTGGGGCAGCAGAAGATCCAACAGGACTCATGAGAAGAAGGAAGAACAAACGAAGTTCTGATCCATTAATGGAAATGACAGAAGACGCTGAACCGGACATTTTCTCTTTAACATCTTTTAGACGTCGATGCTTTTATTGGTGGAGCCTCAACAAAGAGTTTCTGTCACTGTCTGGGACAGACGATAAAATCCATCCATCTATAATCTATCTATCTATCTATTGATTATCTATCTATCGATTATCTATCTATCTATCCATCTATCTATCGATTATCTATCCATCTATCTATCGATAATCTATCTATAATCCATCCAGTTCTGATCCATGAATCTGTTCTCAGTTTTCTACAATCTTTCTGCTCAGATGTTTGAACGTTTGCTGCCATGAGTGAAGTTCAGAATCGCTGGTTGAACAACGAACAGACGGATTAAAGAAACTTTGATTAATTAAAATCATCTAAACGTGTAAATGACACAACGAGACGTCAGGAAGCTTCTAACGGCCGCTTTCATCGTTCACTGGAATTTAAAACTTTGTTGTGGAAAATCATCAGCATTCAGATAAAAGTAGTGGATGAAGGTTTTTACTGGAGTACAAGTACTCAGTTACTCAATAGCTGTTTTAAACATGAGCACAAGTCCTCAGTATCTCGGCGTGTTCTCGTCCTGCAGGTCCAAGTCCTTCCTGTTCTGTGCTCTCTACGCCGCCCTGGTGTTCGCTGGACGTCACTACATGAAGCCTCGACCCAGAATGAACCTGCGGCTGCCGTTGGTGTTCTGGTCGCTGAGTCTGGCCGTGTTCAGGTAGATGTTCCTCCTCTGAACGGCTTTTATAAATCTCCATGGAAACGTCTCAGGATCAGGTTCAAGGCTTCAGCTGAAGGAGACGCTGGCATGACGGTATTCATCTGCTTTGATTTGAATGTTCTGGTCCATCACCACGGGTCCAGAAAGAGCTGCTGCAGGGATGTGCAGAAGCCTGTCCAGAACGTTTAGAACGTTCAGTTCAGTTTTACAGTGAACAGACTAAATGTAAAGTGGATGTGGCGTCGCAGAAAATACCAATAAAGGCCATTAAAGTTCAGACAGAAACCAACTGGATCAGACCGGTTCTGAACAGTCAAAGTTCCAGAAACAGGATTTGTTTCACTGACGGTTTGGTTCCGTTTATTGTAATTTTGGATTTAAGCTTTTAAAAAACCTAAAAGTCGAAGCTGATTTTAAACGACGTGAACGTGGACGGTTCAGTTTCACCGTTTGGTCCGTTTGGTTCCGACTCTCTTCAGTTTGTCCAAATGCTGAAGCAGCGACACAATGGCTGCTGTTGTTTCCACGGCGACGCCTCCCACTGACAAACACTAGCTTTGGTTGTCTCCGTGGTAACCAGCCGCCGTCACACCTGCAGGTGGCGGCGCTCAGGTGTGTTTGTTCTGAGAGTCCGAGTTGTTCAGACAGAAACTGGCATCAGGAGGAAGCTTCAGGTTTCCAGACGTCTTTGAACTCATCACGCCACAGATTGAGTCCCTGCAGTCTCATGTGGTCGTTCACAAAGATCAACACTTTGCTCGAAACACAGAAACTGGTTCTGTGAGCGTCAGCGGTTCTGTCTGTGTGCTCAGTTTGGGTTTCTGTCCTCCAGTGGTTGGGTTGTGTTATTGTTGTGTGTTGTTGTGTATTTCTGGGGTCAGTGTGTTGTTGTGTGTTGTTGTGTATTTCTGGGGTCAGTGTGTTGTTGTGTGTTGTTGTGTATTTCTGGGGTCAGTGTGTTGTTGTGTATTTCTGGGGTCAGTGTGTTGTTGTGTATTTCTGGGGTCAGTGTGTTGTTGTGTATTTCTGGGGTCAGTGTGTTGTTGTGATGCCGACAGAGTGAAGCTTCTTGTTGTTTCCTTCGGCTCTCACCGGTGACCCAACAGCTGTCTGTTCGTGTCTCTGCAGCACCGGCTCTGGTTCTGTGGTTCTGATGGCTTGTTCTGGTTCTCCTGCAGCATCGTCGGCGCCGTCCGGACCGGTTCCTACATGTTCCATGTCCTGAGCTCCAGCGGCTTCAGAAGGTCCATCTGTGACCAGAGCTTCTACAACGGTCCCGTCAGCAAGTTCTGGGCGTACGCCTTCGTCCTGAGCAAGGCCCCGGAGCTGGGTCAGTACATTATCATTATTGGTGGTGAGATGGGTCCAGAACCACCGCGGGCAACATTACAATCAGACATTTCAGTGTTTCCTTCAGTTATCGGCTGTATTTCTATATTATTGTCTTGTCCAGATGGTGTAATGTGAGGTTA